GCCCCGCGGCTGCCTCTCTCCCCCCCCCCACACACACTCTGCCCTAGGCGGGGCGGGGGTGGGGGCTGCAGCTTCTCTGTGGCGCTGGCGTCTCACTGCCCCTTCTCCCCTGCCAGGAGCTCGAGGCCATGAGCCGATACACCAGCCCGGTGAACCCGGCCGTGTTCCCGCACCTCACCGTGGTGCTGCTGGCCATTGGCATGTTCTTCACCGCCTGGTTCTTCGTGTATCCACCCGCCCGGGAAGGGCCAACCATCCGTGGCTGGGGGCCCTCGGGGGCCACTCGCAGCGGAGGCTGGACGGGGGCGAAAAGCCCTTTGCAGCGAAGTGGGAATAACTCTGCTGGGAGTTTTGAGGCTCCCCAAGAAGCACAAGGGGCAGGTTATTGTGGGGCGGGTCAGCTGGAAGCAGAGGGGACGTAACCCCGGTCTTGCATTGCCTGAGGCTGGACAGAGTGGGGCGGGGAGGCACTGTGGTTGAACTGGATTGCAGGAGGAGGTCAGCAGTGGGTTTATCTAGACTGGGCGTAGAGGGAGAGATTATGCTGAGAGGCCACAAGAGTGGGCGAGAGCAAGAAGGGACCATAGCTTGAGGATGTGTTAGAATCAGGCTTGGTGTGAACTTACCTAATAACCTGCTTCTTGATAATATTCTCTGACAGCACTTGGCGTTGAGGTTGAAGTGGTAAAGGCTGCCCTGCTGGTGCTCTTGAAACCACAGAAATAGTCTCTGAAGGGATTTTTTATTGTGTAGTAAACTTACACGACAATAATAGTATCTCCTTACCCAGACCCCTTTGTTTCATTTCAACCCAGTTAGTGTGTGGTATTATAAGCCCTCCGGTATGTCTCTTTGCTTATTGCTTTAACTAGCTTTCTCAGTTATGAAGTGACTTCCACCAAGTACACACGGGACATCTACAAGGAACTGCTTATCTCCCTAGTGGCTTCGCTTTTCATGGGCTTTGGAGTTCTCTTCTTGCTGTTGTGGGTCGGTATCTATGTGTGACACGAAACCAGGGAACTGCTCTAGGTAAGACCTGTAGAATCAAAACATTGCTAGGCAGCATGTCCTCAGTTACAGACTCAGCTAAAGCTAACAGCTGCAAGAGGTTGATACAGGCTAGTTTGATAAGGGCTAATTATGTGTTTGTAGCTATCTCCCCTTTTCCAGACAAAACCACACCTTGAAGTAGTGAATTTGTCCAGAAACCTCCCTTGGGGGATCAGTGTTGGGGTACAGGGCAGTGGATAGAGATAGTAAGACATGGTGGCATAGCATATCTATTTGTGAAATAGCTGCTGCTGGTTAATTCTCCAGCAGTGTAACAGGGACAGCAGCTGTCATGGAGGTAGAGCTCTGCTTATTGCCCGGCAGATGTGGAGCTGCTTATCATTTCCCTCTGTGTGGACTGTGTGCTAAGGCAGCTTAGCAGGGCACACACATCATCCCACTAATCATGTGCATTTGAGGGATCGCTTTTAATTTTATTATTAACTGGGATTTCCACAGTCTTCTGGCAAATAGTGAATAAAAAAAATGAATCTGGAATGATTGAGGCTAAGGAATTGAATTTCTGTCTCATTGCCTGTTTCACACACTTTGGCGCTGCACCAGTAAAGCATTCCACTCACTCATCTGTTGCTGGGTCAGACGATAGGTCTGACAAAGATGACCTCCATTTTTGAGCTGGGTGTGGAGTTCACTGAGTGTTAGTCTCACCCCCACCTAATGCCATGGGAAGCAGTTATAGTTGTAGCAGCAGTTTGGTTTTTGGGAAGGCTCTCTTCCAACTTCCTGCCTCTGTCATTTCAGATTCCAAGTGGAAGGCCTCACAGAAGCTCCTCCTTTTTCTATTTTTGTACTTTAAGGCTATGGCCCATCGCAGACGCAGACTGTGTGTCCTGCCAAGTGATTGCAGCCCAGTGCATCGCCTCAAGCCTGAATAAAACTGGTTCTGTGATGTAGCAAACTTTGGGGTCCTATTTTGTGTTTTGGGGGCTCTTTAACTGACTTCTAGACCTGCTCTGATCTCAGCACAAGATCAGCATCCCCGGATAGATCCTCTGTTGGGTTCAGAAATAGAATGGCTCTTTAGAGGCTCCAGCAGACATATTGAGAGAAATTGAGTATAGCCCTGAAGGTGGTCCACTTCCCGCTGCAGTGGGAGATTGGGCTAGTTTCTGATTGTCTCTTATAGATGTGAACTATAAGAAAAGCTGCACTGTAACTGGCCATCCACTTACAAGGAGCACAAGCACTCCAATGATAAAGGAATTTGTTTTTATTCGAAAGAATACTGAATTAGGTGTCAATTTAATAGTGGATATATGCTCTGCAGAAGACGGCTGCTTTCTCTAGTAGTCAGCTGGGACTTGATTATAATATTCCATCTATGTGATCCTGGATAATAGAGCTAGTACAGGAGAAGTGTGAAGTAAAAGTGATGCTTGCTGACCTGATTCTATTGTACGAGTTTGGTGAAATGAAATTATGTTCACAAATAAACTCTCGGCTAGAATTAAGTGGCCAAATTAATAACTGGTGCAAGTCAGTCATGTTGCAGCCGGGGTTTGGTTCTTTTGCAGGAAATAAGTAACTCATTTAAATCATTGGGCCCCAGAGATGAATATGGGCTAAGGCTGGGAATAGGAGTGTAAATATATATATACAAATATTAACTGTGTAACCAGTACAAATTCTATTGGTTACATAGTGATCTGTGGGGCTCAGCAGGCTCGAAGTTGGGAGGGAGGAGGAGGAGGGAAGTTTTGGCCTTAGGTCAGAAGATGCTACAGAGTTCATTATAATCTGCCATTCACCTTTACATGTTGACATATTATAAAGGCAGGACCCAACCCTTTGTGACATCAGTAGACATAGGGCTGCTGTCCCAGGCAATGTTAGGGGATAATTATCTCCACAGCCAGCCCACCAGCCCAGCTTTGGAAGTTTCAGGCTGCAAGAGTCGTGCTGTAGAATGGCCACCTGAAATCTTTCCCTGCTGCCAGAAACCAACATATGCTGTCACACCACCAGTATTGTTTAAACAACACTTATAGGGTGCATCTAGACTGGCAAGATGTCTAAACTTGCCAGCTGTCTACACTGGCCGCTTGAATTTGCGCAAGAGCACTGACTTTGTAATGTACAAAATCAGTGCTTCTTGCTCAAATACTTTCACGCTCCTGCTCGGGAAAAAGCCCTCTTGAGCAAGAATACTTGCTCAAGAGGGCCAGTGTAGACAGGGAAGAACTGTTTTGTGCAAAAAAGCCCCGATGGCTAAAATGGCGATTGGGGCTTTCTTGTGCAAAATCATGTCTAGACTGGCCACAGATGCTTTTGCACAAAAGCATCCGTGCCAATCTAGACGCGCTTTTGCGGAAATACTTTTAATGGAAAAACTTTTCCGTTAAAAGTATTTCTGCAAAATCATGCCAGTCTAGATGCAGCCATAAAGTTTCCCATTTTCTCCAGCTTTCTAATTTTAGGAATAGCAGTAGCCCAGTTTGTCCCACTTGCCTGAGAGAGTCTTTTCTTTGCCAACAATGGGCTTTGGGTGAGGTTACCGGGTAGGGCCATATGGGCGGTTACACACAAATGCTGATTCTTCTATGAACGTCCTGATCTTACCAACTCCAGGATTATATTTTTCTAGGACCTCTTTCCAAGAACACCTTTTGAGGAGTTGCTATTCCTTTATGTGTGCAGGTAGAAGCAACTGCAGCCCTCTGACATTTTATAACTGTGTCTCTATTGTGCTTATCTTCTGTTCTTCTAACTGGTAAGTCATCTTAACTCCTTTTACTTATTCTGTAATATTTCTGGGCCCTGGTTTGAGTTTTTTTTAGAATAACCTTCCTTATTTCAAAATAATAAGCAGAGCACCCATATTACCACGCCTGTTGTTTCAGGCTATATATAACGGGCTGGTTATTTGGAAATCTGTACTCCTGCTTTCCTTGGGGAATAAGGCTTATTTTGAAATAGTTATTTTGAAATAGCATTAGTGTGGACGCTCTGCTGCTGCTATATTGAAATAACTACTCAGAGTAATTTGAAGTAATTACTCCCCATTGCTTCCTGGGGCTTTAAGTAGAGGTAGCACATCCATAATAATGGAACCTGCCTTAGACTAATTTTGAGGCTCCCCCATAGCATGGACATGCTGTTTCAATTTTGTTATTTTGGGTGTTATTTTGAATTTAGTTATTTCAAAATAATTTCCTAGAGTAGACCTGCTCTGAGGGCGGCAGAGTCTCACAAACTCTATGTCTAGTGTCTCAATTCCTTCCAACTTAATCCTGTATTTTTATAATGATTTGTACAGACCCTTCAATGCACATAAACCCAAACCAAGCTGAACAATTTGTAACCCAAAATTCATTATAGATTCATGCTGCTAACATCCATTACTTAATTATACTCTATATGACAGCCTCTACTCTATATAATGACTTAAGGGATTTATTTTAAAGTTTGCTACCTCAGCTGCTTTTCAGCCATCATTAATGTCACCTCACATGCTTCATTTGTTAATTAATGCACATACTTTGTCTAATACTGCTTTCCAATTTGACAAACTTTTAAATGTTCATCTTAACCCCTGGATTTAGCATTAACTCATGAAAGATCAAGTTACTACACCATCTGAATGGTTAATTAGAAAGATCTCCAAACTGATCAACCCAAGCATAATCTTGAGCTCATGTAGCCACTATGCTGGCCCTGTAAATAATAGAAGCCACTTCAAGCCAGTGTGTGCTGCACCCTCAGCACCTTTAATTCCTGCAATTATAACTTTTTCTAATTTAGGGTTATTTGACTACAAAAAGGGTTCCCAAATGTTTTTAAACTGCTATGTATCTGACTGAAAATAGTTCTTAAAGCAAGATTCCTTGTCAGTATTTGAAACCCCTATGTTGGAGCATTAGGACATTAAAAGTGAAATGAATAAAGTTGTAGAACTGATTTTTTCTCCCCCAGAGTCTACACTTACAGTGAAATGAATAAAGTTGTAGAACTGATTTTTTTTCCCCCCCAGAGTCTACACTTAGATAAATGAAGAAAGTAAAGCACAGTGGCCAGGCTGCAAGAGCAGTGCTGCAGAATAGAAAATGTCTCTTTTCCTTCTGTGAAGAAACATAAATGAAGAAAGTAAAGCACAGTGGCCATGCTGCAATAGCAGTGCTGCAGAATAGAAAATGTGTCTCTTTTCCTGCTGTGAAGAAACAAGCCTGAGCTGCCACCACCAAAAATAGTTTAAATTACATTTAAAAGTTTGCTGGTTTTTTTCAACTCTAATTTTGTAGTGAATGGTAATACCCCAGTATGACCATTTATTCTACCATTTAGACTCACTTGTTGGTGGGAATCTTTACTTTGCCAACAATGGGCTTTGGGTCTGGTCTGTAGCCCATGACACAGAAAAAACAATTCCTCTGTGAATGCCTGGATTTTACCAAATCTCCCCAGAATGGGGTTGCACCTTTCTACGGTCACCTTACCAGATATTTTTTGAGGAGCTGCATCACTCCATTGCTATCCTCAGGCTGGCAGTTTGCAGCTTTCTGCTGTATCTCTTTCTCCTCTTCCAGCTGGTACATATTGTTCTCCTGTTATACTTACTGTTTAACATTTCTGAGGGTGGCAGAACCTTTCAAATGTGAGTACAATCAGCAAATTTCACGGAGTGATGTTTACTCTATTAAATCCTTTTCAGCAAGATACTAGAAACCTTACAACTTAATCCTTTGTATTTATAATAACTATTTACATAAACTCTTCAGTGAACATAAACCTAAGCCAGTTGGAACAATTTGTAAGATTCAGCTGCCAAAACATCTAGCATACTCTAGATAGTGATTCTCTTTAAAGATAAGACTTTAGTGTTTAATAAAAAAAAGTGAAAACATCTAGCATACTCTAGATAGTGATTCTCTTTAAAGATACACTTTTTTATTAAACACTAAAGTCTAAGTGACTGTGTGGACATAGTTTCCCCTGAGCTGTACAACCATGCAGCTTCCCATTAAGCCCAGCACAGGAGCGAATAATCCTGCACAATGGTTCAGGGTTGCAGCAGGGAGCTATATCCTCTCCCTCAGCCCTGCAGCTGGTAATAGGGAGCCCTTCCCCACTGGCCCCAGAATGGAAATGCCTTGGTAAGCTTGAGCCCCTATTCCCTGGTGAACTGTGGCCATTTTATTGCCCCCACCCCTGATCTAACCAATTCCCATATGGTGCTGCAGGCCAAGGACTCTGCCTGTAGTACCAAATTGGCGCTGCCCTGGGGAGATGTGCCTAAGGCAGGCAGCAGTGTGAGGAGGTGGGGCTAGAGTTCCTGGAGGGAGACATCAGAGGAACTCAGTCACCATCCTCCTGCTTGGTCTCCTCTGCCTGCAGCACCAAATGCGCACTCAAGGGGAAGGCTTTGAGTTGAAAACCAGTACAACAAAGAAGAGCAACTTAGACAATTTAATAACATTTAGGGTTAGCAGCAGTAGCCTGTAAAATTGCTCTAGGTTCAGGGATAGAGACTGGAGTTCCTGCCAGTACAGTGTGCCCTAGCCATGCCCTCTGCAACCCAGTACTGAGTATTATCACCTGAGCTTTGTCTCATTGTGTGCTCCTGGGATAGTCAATGATTTATTGCCCTGCCTAGAGAAGGACAACTCCTGTTTACCTACCTTGCAGGTATGGTGTAACATTGCCTGTACACAGCTCTGAAAAGTGAGAGCCCATGAATACAAAGCATGTGTTGCACTCACTGTGCCAACAGTGCATCAGTTCACATTCTGAGACTTTTCATGATGTATAAAACTAAATCAGTAGCTTCATCTGTTTTTCAGATGGCATACAGCAAGACAATCCCTTGGCTCCACATGCTAGTCTCTGTCAATGCTGGAGTGTAAGTGGAAGGCTCCATTCTACCGGTCCTTAAGTAAAGTTTAAAATGCAATCTAAAGTAACGATGTAAAATCTTGTTTCATTGGTTAACCAATTAAAGGGGGAATGGGCTGGACTGCCCCTCTTTTGCCACAGACAGGGGCTGCTCCAGCCCCCATCAATTAACTGGACCTGGCAAGCATAACCCCAATCCACAGTCACGAGCCTGGACACAGCTTGGAATCTGATTTGCCCACACCAGAGGCTCTTAGGTAACTGATGCTGTCTGGAAGAAACCTGGGGCATTTGCTGTTTCTGGTCTCAGGGCCCAGTTGTTTATAAATAGTTCCTTTCACACAACTGCATTTAAGAAATTAGTATTTTTCCATGGGTGGAGGAAAGCAGCGGGAGCCAAACTTGGATACAAAGCAGTATTTATATATTTATTTATATAGGTATATTTACCTCTGGCATAAAACAAAGTCTAAATAAGCCAAAAAAGTGGAGGAGTCCTGAGACCCAGCACCCCCCACATTTAGCAAAATATAAATACATATCAGAAAGAAAGGAGGGAAGCAGTGCTAAGCCCCCCGGAGCAAATAAAAACCAAGAAATCATTAATATCTGCTCAGAAGGCAGCTCTACAAACTGGCTGGCAATATACACTGATTAAAGCTGTGACAGCAACATTTAAACCAAACAAATTAGTGCTTTATTTTTCCTTAATCATAGCAGTGGTGTTCAGTCTTTATTTACAGGCTTTAAGCTTTAGAAGTAGGGCAAAAGAGATGTGAATTTGCTTTTGAAACAAACTCTCTCCCAAACAGCTGAAATTTAGAAAATGACTGTGTTCACGCTAGTCAGCTCTTCTGCTTAGAATGTCTAGAGAGTTGAAGCTTCAGGTTCCAGATGCAGAGAGAAAGGGGAAGCTGGAAACACTGGCTCAGAGCTCTCTCCGTCTCATGCAGGGAAAAGCCTACCTTAACCTTTGCTACTATTTTGGGAAGGGGAGGTGGGTAGAGCAGAGACTTAGAAAGTGGTCCCTGGAAGCAGCTCAGTAGCCTGGTTGTGTTCTTGGGTTCTGCTGCCATCATGTGGCCATTTCACTCCCTACTGTGAACATTTGGTTCCTGTCTTAGAGGTTCCATTGTGGTTGGGCCGACATGATCTATGTGTGGAGTATTCTGAGAGTACATGCTGACTCTAATCCTACTGTAGCTTGTAGGTAGAACCACTGCCATCTTGCTTTAAAATCATTGTAAATGCAGGACAGGCCTCTGGACTTTAATTATTCTCTTCCTTTTTGGTAAGGGAGATGAACTCACTACTGAGAAACTAACCAGCCATCTTCAAAGCCCACAGCATGTGTTTGTTGTGCTGGGGAGTTGGCAAGAAAAGGAACTAGGTGTGACTACAGATATTAAAGACTGGTTGTAGGCAGCAGCAGCAGCGACCCTGATCTATGCTTTAGGCATCACACCGATACCTGAAATGCTATACATCTTACTTAGGGCTGTAACTTACAAGCCACCATTATAAAGCTCCAGTGATGTGAAAGGCAACTTGGAAAACCCACAACTGCCACCAGTAAGTTTGGGTGGTGGGCAAAAGGGATTTGTGTGGTGGTGGTAGTTGCAGGCAAGCAGAAAGTGATTTCAGCCTGGGGCTAAGGCCAACTCTGCTAAAGTAAAGCACTGGCCGTGAATTCAGCCTATTAAACACACAAGAAGAAAATATTGAGTAGGCCTTCTCATGCTCTCTCTCATGTGATCAGTTCCAGCAAAAGGGGTGAGCTCACTTGCTGACCAGCATTTGCCAGATTGGAGCCAGTGATTGCCACATGAAGGACAAAAGCTGCCACTAAAATAATTTCCCAGCTTTAAAGCTAAAGCTAAGTCCAGAGCAACTGAGGGCAGGTACTATAAAAAACACCCTCCACAAAGAGCAGCTGAGGAGGATT